GACCCAGGGGAACATTTATCTGGAGAGATTCCCATTTATTCTTTTGTCTTGGAATATGCTCCAATTATAGACAGTGTGGAAGATAATAAAAGAAGCCAAGTTCTGTACGTGGCTCCTACCATTCTCTGCTGTCACTGTTCACCATTCTGAGGCCCTCTTATTCACCAGCTTAGCCTCCTACACTTAGGTGCCAGGCCCCAAGACTCTTCAGAAAGAGGCCACGCCCCCTCTTCCTGGACCCCAGCAGTTCCAGCACCTATCTGTGCAGGTAGGGAGTGACCTTTATATCATCAGCTCTTTGCCAGTGTTGGGATTCATGTCCATTTGTGCAGACTGCTTGTACTAAAGAGGGGAAGGGGAATTATTGACAAGTTTAAAAATAAAAGCAATCTTTCCTTTTTCTTTAAAAACTAACTCCCCTCAGAGGATGCTCATTTGCAAATGATATTTGACAAGAAATCAAAACTAATAATAATAGCCATATGCTGGGGTTATATTCAGGGGATGATGTATACTTCACATAGCAATCAAAGACCTTTCAAAAGATAACAGATTTGAGATTTATCATACAAAAATTCATTCTATATTTCTTAATTTTCAAATAGATTATTTCTGCCATCCCCAATATAAAAATGAGGTCAGAAGAAAAGAAATACTTTGAATCAGTCCACACTGTGAGAAAGTTTCTTGCAGCATAATGAAAGGACTTGGTCTTGAGAGGAAGCAGCAAGTGGTTTTGAGGTCCCCTTAGTCATAGGAAACCCGACACTGAAACATCCATAATCCAAAGCTGGTGGCAGTGAGGAAGCCTGAGTGCTGTCACCTTGGCTGTCTGTGGAGGGTAACCTGGTCATGTCAGATGTCACCTTGACCATCTGAGGACATGGAGGGAGGGAAGCGGGCCATGTTTAACCCCAGAAGAACAAATGCCATGCTATTTATGGACAAAATGGATCCTGTTAATTTAAAAAAAAAAACTGTACTTCAAAGCAAACTTCAGGCAACTTCACCCGGCAACACTTTATTAATTTTAATGAATTTTTATTTATATGTGTGAAGCTCCATCTAATTAAAACTTTCCCTCTAACTTGGGATCACTTTCTGCCAAAGATGGCCATGTTATATAATGCAAGCATCTTAAATAATTAGAAAAAAATTCAGGAGGTGTGTGTACTGGATGAACTTAAATATCTATGTGCCTGTGGAGACCTGCACCAGACGAGATGGTTCACGGGAAATAAGCATGATCTTCGTTCTCATAAGGCAGTTTCACTGATCAAATGTAGCTGGGCACATCTTACCAAATAAAGGATGGTGATACGGGCCTCGGGAAAGGTTCAAATTGCTTGTATGTCTCAGAAATTTAGGGTACTAGGCAAATGGGCAACTGCCTGTAACTCTAGTTCCAGGGGATCCAGTTCCCGCTTCTGTCCTTCAAGGGCACCTGCACTCACATGCATGTATGCATACGCACACACATACACATAAATAAAAATAGTAAATTTTTTTTAAAGGTACAAAATTTGGGGTAAAGGGAACTCAGAGCACCTTTCGAGATAATTAGGAAGGAGAACTAGTGTGCCAGCATCTAGCTCCGTTTCCACAACTTTAAAAAGGAACAAAACATCGGAAATGGAGAGGTCTCAGGGTGTAAGATTAGTCACAGTAGCCCAAGCAGAAGCCTGGTTTGTGCTGGAGATCAACACTGCTGCATCTATCTGGGAAAGGGCTGGAGATCAACATTGCAGCATCTATCTGGGAAAGGGTGTGAAAATGGCGGGCAGGGATGGCAGGCGGGGAATGGCAGGCAGCAGTGGCGGGCAGCAGCAGCAGGCAGCAGTGGCCAGTGCTCAGAGGTCACTGGCAAGCTCCACTCTAACCTTTTCTCCTATTGAGGTCGGAAGAGATCACGACACTTACTGTGGTATTTCCCTTCCTAAGAGAAAGAATGTTCAGCTGGCTTTCTCACGGCCATCTTTCTATAGGTGCATAAGCCCAGTGCACAGAAATCACGGTGGGATTCATTTCCAGCATGAACACAACTGAGTACCATTTCAAAACTATGAAGATGGCAGGTGTTTGGGCCTGTGAGTGTGTGTGCAAGGAATCACAATTATGAGCATGAATATGTCAATCCTTTAAACATTCATCCTAAGAAATATTTAATTCCCAATATTGTCAAAATAAAATATAATGCTTGAGGATATTTTAAGGAGATGTGACCTGCTATTTGGGTTTTCCCATTTCTGATGTTTCTCCGTTTTGTACAACAATATGGATTTTTAAAATCAAAACCAAAGTTATGTCTAAAATCCATGTGAGTTCCAGGTTGAGAGGTATCTAATTTTGTCACCTCTTGCTTTTCCTCTATCTTAGTACATTTCCATTTCTTCTATTTAGTATCTCTGATAAAGAGATAGATTAAAGATAATAAGAGCATTTTTTAAATTGCAAACTCCATGGGCTGACAAGATAGCTTGGACAGGTAAAGCACTTGCAGCCAAGCCTGATGACCTGAGTTTGATCCCTGGAACCAACGTAGGGGAAGGAGAGAACAAACGATCACAAGTTGTCCACTGAGCGCCACATGTGTGAATGCACACACACACACACACACACACACACACACACACACACACACACACAAATAAATGTTTTAAATTATAAACTCCACAGTAGCCATAATAAAATCTGTAAGTAGCAGATTGATCACAAACGAACTGAGTATCTGTGTATTGTGTATGCTAAGTGTTTTAGGTACCTAAAACAGATGTCGAGGAAATTTTCATAAAGATGGCAGACCGGCACTCTGTGTTAGCAAGAACCAAAGGATTGCTAGCATTTATGAAGCTGCTATGACCTAAAATAAAAAGATCACATGCTTGGGATACTTGTATTAGTTGTACGTGAAGAACAAAGAAACAAAAGCATCTCATTAGGAGCATGCTTTCGAGTGAGAGTGTGATTGGCTGACTCTTCTAGAATTGAAAAAGATTTCCATAATCCTAGCAACCTGGAGTCTGAAGTAGGAACATTGACACAACTCCAAGGCATCCTGCACTATATAGCGATTGGCGGGCCAGTTTAGGCTACCCAGTGAGACTCTTTCACAAAACCAGAAATTTATGCAAAACCAGTATGCTTATGGCTGGACTGAGAAATTGCACTGGAAAGTGACCTCTGCCTAAAATGTGATTGCTATCCTAAACAACAGTCACTTCCGTGGAAGGGAGAGCTGCCCTCAGCGCTTAGATATGATTGTGTAGTAGGAAGGGTCTGGGTCCCTCTTATGCTTCAGGTACAGATGAGCAGTGGCCAGATCATTCCGATTCAATCTTAATCTCAACTTTCCAACCCAGGTATATCTCCCCAACCAAGTTATGAGAACACCCAAGCTTTGTCAGGTATCTGGCAGAATGTGGAGCTTGTGGCAGCATCTCCCAGTAGCTTCATTCTCTTCCCTGAGAGGCAAAGAGTGGAGCAGCATCCCCTCATCTGAAGGACGGCTCCCCACCCTCCTCATCCCCATGTGCTGGCTCCGCATCCTCCCTGTCCCCATATTCAGGCTCCCCATCCTCCCCATCCCCATATGTTGGCTCCCCATCCTCCCCATGCCCATATGTTGGCTCCCCATCCTCCCCATGCCCATGTGTTGGCTCCCCATCCTCCCCATGCCCATGTGCTGGCTCCCTATTCTCCCCATCACCATGTTAGCTCCCCATCCTCCCCATGCCCATGTGTTGGCTCCCCATCCTCCCCATCACCATATGTTGGCTCCCCATCCTCCCCATGCCCATGTGTTGGCCCCCCATCCTCCCTGTCCCCATATTCAGGCTCCCCATCCTCCCCATCCCCAGGTGCTGCCTCCCCATCCTCCCTGTCCTCATGTGCTGGCTCCCCATCTTCCCATCCCCATATGCTGGCTCTCCAGCCTGAGACGGCCTTGTGACATCCAACATTGCTCTGTATCTTCCGTTCCATATCACCAAAAGGAAAAGCAGTGAATCAAAGCTGAGCTTTCTTAAGTAACAAATGTCAATGCCATTTGCCATGACCCTGTGTTTTAGTGATGTATTCCCATTTTCCTAACAGGAGTTGAAAAGACTGTTCTCCAGAATTGTTTAAAAGGCTATCATTTTATTTCTTTTATTGTTGAAGAAGGCAAATTCTAAAGAAATGAGAGATATATCATGCAGTTCTCACAGCAAAGTACCAAGGAAAATGTTACCCTTTGCACACAATGTTTTCTACTTAAAAACATCTCAAGAAATTCGACAAGGAAATGAGGAAAAGTGAATTTCACATGTGATCAGAAAAGAAGTGGCCGAAATAATAGCTGGCGCCATCCTAATGGGATGAATTTTAATCACCTTAATCTACTTCTTTCCTATTCTTTTTAAGCCTGAGGTAGGAGTACATGGCTTCATGTGGCATGAAGTATATAACTCACTTCTTGCCTGAGTGTATTTCCAATTGTGTTTTCATTTTTGTTGTCTTCGTGTTGTTTCAAATAGTAAGTCAGTGTTGACCTTTTGGTACAGTCATATTTATAAGGTTGAACTATTGTGGATATAGGTTTCTTGGAATGTGTTAAAGCAACTGACCTCTGTAAAGAACATCACACCACAGTGGCTCTATGGTTAGCTCTGCAGAGCTACTGATGGCAAAACTGAGCAGAATCACTTTCTCACATACCAGCCAAATTCTAAGTTTTAGGAGCAGCCTCCTGCTGATTAGGTGGATGGTCAGCAATACCAGCCTGAATGCAGGACAGCAGATGAAGGCAACAGAGGGATGGGAGGGGACTTTGATAGATGAGTGGATTCACCGCGTGTGATAAGCTCTCGGGTACCCTTTCTGCAGCCACAAAGATGGAATCTGCAGAGCTCCCCTCTGCTCAGACTCTACCGCATTAGTTAAACAGCAAAAATCGTGGGGTTTTGGCACGAAAGCTGGCAGTTGCAACAGGGAACTAACCCAGGTGTCATGACTCTTTCCAGGTAGTAGGTGTAACCTTGAAGAAAAAATGGCACTGTCTTCAAAAAAGTGACCTGACCCTGGCTTTGGTGGGTTTTTCTGCAAGAAATGCAAAGCCCCGCATGTGTTTATGATTCAACCTTTCAGCCGACCACTGCTTTGTTCTAGAGTTCAGCATGAAAGGACTAATTTTTGTTTGGTTTTTGTTTCTGTTTTAGTAAAAAGCATGTCTGTTGCTAATTCTAGCTACTATAGTTGCATATGTAAAAATTCTCTCTTTGTAGTTTATAGATTGGTAGCATTTCAAATAAATGACATTTTGAAAAATTCACCTGAAATTTTTTGAGATGCTTATCAATTGATATCTTCCTTCTCATCGCAAGAGGAGTCTGAGTTATTGCTTTTCAATTATACCTTATAATACTAGATTCGTTCCTTTAAATATAGTAGGGATTTGAATATAAGCATGCCACTTTGTTTATTGCTATATTATTAGAACGTCTTAGAGCATGGAAAGACTTCTTCGCAAATGATTTTGCTCTTGAAAAGTTGCAGAAATAAATGTTATAAAACAGATATTTTTCTATAAATGAGCATAGCTTATAGACATATAGTAAGTTAATAGCATGCACTGTCTCACTCAAACAACTTTAATATCTGAAAGACATGTTAAATGGCTGGATAGTATCCCAATACATCTTTCCCCAGAATTCAGAATTGTGCTGTTATCTATTTTAGGAAAGTCATATTGCTTCATTAAAGAGGAAGCCTGGAATTCTTGTCTACCCCAGTTGACTCTGCAATGAAACATCAAGTTTCCCTTTATTCTTCCAGAAGTCAGTAAGCCTAAGGAGCAATGCCATGTAGTCTTTTGAGAACACATATGCAAATTATTACTGATTCATCTGCGAAATAATAGCTCCACTACCTGCTATTCATCTTAGAAAGAAACACATTGTCATTTAATAGTGCAGCCCTTAATCAAAACAAGCACATCTTAAAAATCTATTAACTGTACAAAAAGATTTCCTTTCTTGACATAAATAGAAGCTATGACTGGCTACATTTTGGAAGGTTAGAACCTGAATAAATGGAGGGGTTTGTCCCTAAATGGAACCTGCTTTTTGGATGTCCTTGCAACACCAAAAATACTAATATTACCCAAGCCCTTTTGTGCTGCATCAGGTGAGGCTATCCAGCTTTACTGAGTTCTGGAGTTAATTCCTTTTCCAGGCAATGCCCCCCTCAACACACACACACGTAACACTTGTCCATGTGTCTCTTTGTGAGACAGCTATAAGTAGATTGACAGCACAAATACTTTATGTGCTTTTAATATAAAATGATTTCCTCCAGGGAGGCTCTGGCAAGAGAGCTGAAAAAATTTAAAGTCTTTGTTTTGCAAGTATTGAGAGATTATTGGGAAAGGGATGTTTTGTTTTGTTCCATGATGACATATTCATATTTACTCTCATAAACTTGATAATCTGGTCAGCTTAAAGGGCAGAAGGCTAACACCCCTTGCAGGCTCACAATTCTCTTTATATGAGACAAACTGACACCAGATACAGAAGAATCACTGCCCCAGTGGGAATATTTTACTTGTGTAATTATAGAATTCTTCAGTTAAAAGACATGTCTAAAATTGTACTCAAGTTCCTTGGTCTCAAAAACATTGAAATTAGGAGAAGAAATTCTACTTGACTCAGGTCAGACCATCCCACAGAACACTATGGGTAAAACCCTGGTATGGGAAGCCACTGTAGAATACTTAAGAAATGAAGTTTGTATACTCTTTATGCCAAATTCACTGACAAACGAGATTCAGAGAACACCCAGTGAAAGCACTTTGCAAATCAGATCCTGGCTCTAATCTCTGCCTCAAATCAAAGTATCTAGGGGCTGTCTAGTCATCATTTATAAACGAACACAACAGGAAAGTCATAGCATGCTAAAATTGATACTATAAAATTATGTTCCTATCATGTTAATTGCCTTCAAATATATTATACATATAAAAATACTATGTTAAACAGGTCCGCTGTGAAAGGTGAAAAAGTAGCAGCTAACTAAAAGTTCACAAATAATCTTTCAGATTTTGTGTGTTTTCTCCTCAGCCAAAAGCCTCAAGATTCCCTGGCAGCAGCCCACCTCTTCACTCATGTCGGATTGCGCTTTAAACATTAGCCTGTCTTGTCCTAAATAACTTCAAGACGCCTCCTGACACATTCGTTGTTGGTTTCACTGTTGTAGGGAAAAGGCTCTAGGGCTGCAGATAAGGCTGTTGCCATGGTGATGAAGGAGATACCGAGGGAGGAGTCTGCAGAAGAAAAGCCCCTCCTTACTGTGACATCACAGGTGGGCAGACCCATAGGGTTCCTGTAGGAAGCTGACATATGTTAATGTATCAAAAAATGTGATCATCAGCTAAAAAAAAAAAAAAGCAAAACAAGCCAATCTTTTTAAAGCAGTTTCAATGAAACAACTGTAAAAATATAAATGAAAGCCAAAATTGCAAAAGAAAAAAATTAGTTCTTGATCATGGATATTAATTTTCATTACTCAACATTAGTTTTTAAATGAAGACAATATATAACACTCTGCTTCTTTAAAAGGAGTCTTGTTGACGTTGAGAAATACCAATAACAAGCAAACAAATCGAATTCCTGAATAAATCCAGTCGTCTTATATACATATGTCAGTTTACCAGTAGATGCTCTAAATTTTCTTAAATGTTAAATATATTTCTGTTGTGACTTTGCATACTACACATGTCTATACATATTTATGTCGATAACTAAGTTACAGGCATGAGCGGGAAGTCCCCGAGTTTTCATGCAGAAAATGGCTCTCGGCTCCTCCCCACACTTAGTGGCCTTGATGAGGAAACACCATCTCCATTCCGAGCACTAAAGGGCCATTTTCAGCCTCTATTGTGACACACATAGAAAAAAAGTCCACATTTGTCTTTGAAGGCGTGCTGAAGCTGGTCCTGCACAGGCCCGGGGACTTCCGAAACACCCTGTAAAAGTCTCCATAAATATCTATAGCACGACTCATCACCACCCTGTGCGATTCCCAGTTTTAAATTCTGAGATGAAAAATATTTTTCTTGCACTTATCTTATAATTTAGATTAGGTTGTTAAACATTTCATTTCTTCCATAACGCATCCGTAAATGCAGCGGTTCTCTTCCGATTATGCACACGCCTAGAATTAGAAAAACGGCCATTTACAGCCCCCGTGAAGCACATTTCTGTCAAAAGCTAAATTATGGCGGCTTATTTTCAGAATATCAGCAGATCTGGTCCCCAGCTGCTACCAACATGTGTGTTTTTATTTTATTCTAAATGCCATGTTGTAAGTAATGAAAATTATATAACGCCAAAATTAAATAAAGTTTTAAGTTATTAAAGATTTCTAGGATTGGGAAATTCTACATTGTCAGAGTGTGTTTGTTGTTGCTGTAGTTGTCCATAAAGAAAAGATGCTTTTTCCTTCAATGTCATCAAGTTGTCTGTCCTTTACCGAGTTGACGTTATGAAGTATACACCATTTTACAAAGATCACCTGCCCATCAGAGTCAGACCTTTGTGAATCCTATATGCAGAATATCCAGTCCATGTTACTTCTGTGAATGATTGGCAGGTGAGCACTTGGCACTCCAGGCAGGTGATGAGCCACATGCCTGGGATCATGTAGGCTCTTGTGCTGCACCAAAGCATCTTGGGAAATCACAATTAAGACAGGCTCCAGCCATCCCCCGAGTTTCCCAAATCTTACATTTTGCTGTTACTGCCCAGTAATCATTTCCACATGTATGATATTAACATGATATCTAAGTTTGAATTTAAAATTTCATAGACTTGATATTTTAATTTAGGGAAGAAATCATAAATATCGTCATCCTCTCACATTCAGAACATTTGTGTGTGCCCTTTTAAATCTGTCTAGTGTTGTGTGGACTGTTTCTGAGAGACTGATTATGACTTTACTGCATGAAGATTGTGTAACGCTTTCTTTAATGCTTTGTATCCTTATTGCGTATTGGCCAGTTTATGAATCAGCAGGCAGAATTCTGATTCATAAAATGAGATGCACTTGTTGTAATGATAATTCCATGGAACTCAGTGACAACTATGATAGACTAATTTCTCAACCAAATGTAGTTTTATTAGCTGGTATGTTTTTTACATGACACACAAGTGGCTTTCCCCCTGGTATGCACCAGTGTCATGCACAAGCCAAAAAGAAGCAGCGTGAGCTGAAAAAGTGAGTACTTCCCACGGCAACCACAGCATCCAGTCTGTCTGCCACACCACATTTCTTAACTGTGTGAATGTCCTAGTGTCATGTGTGTCCCGGTGTGTCTTGTAAAGACTACGGCATAGCACCACACATCACTGAGTATAAGGACTCATCTTCACCCCTGGTATATCGACACCAGCTGTCATATCATAGATTCCAGACATATCTGAAGCCAATTGCTACCCTCTCGGATGATCATAAAAGATAAATACAGAAAAGGCTACTGTGTTACATCACCTTGTTCAGTAACTGTTTACTCAGCAGCCCAATATTTCAGCATTTTTAAATTATGATTACAATGGTTTGTTCTAGAATGTTTATAAAGACTTAGCTAGCCATTCGACAGTGATATCATCTTCAGCAGATGAAACAAAGCAGAGGAATTAGCCAGATGATTGGATTCAAAAACAAGACCCCAGAAAGTATAATTACTAATTTTATGGAAACAAACAAGTTCAAGTTCATGCTGCCCTAAATTAATGCTAACTCAAACAGTTTGTAAACAGGCATACATTGACAAAATGTTTGAAGGAAAAGCACAGATTGCCAAATCTTTGAGGAAAAAGATCCTGCAGGCCTGGGCTCTCCGGTACTATGGCTACTAGTCACGTGGCCACGGAGCACTTCTGGCTTCCGGAAATTGAGACATGCTGCAAAAGTTTCAAAAAGAAAAAAGGTTTGAAGGCTTAATCCCAAAATATGCAAACTATTACATTAATAATTTTTATTGATTGCATGTTGAAATATTTTGGATATGCTGAGTTAAATAAAATGCATAATTGAAATTATTTTTACTTGTTAATGACCACTGAAGATTTTTATGGTGTAAAGTGATTATTGTTTATATTAAGCAGCACTGCTATAAGCTGTAACACTTAAGCAAATCTAATTTTATGATAGACAGGAAACCCATGTACCCAAAGATTATGCCCTGGAAAATGGGGATTTGTTTTTAGGAGACAAAATGGCCTTAGTGAGTATATTTCTCTCTGAAGGAAACTTGAGAAAGTTTCATTTTGACAAATTTGGCCTCCTGGCTGTTTAAATCAAGGTATCCCCAGCTCCTTTGTCCTCCAGAGCTCAGTGTCTTAGAACTGAGCTTCACATCTCTTCTGCCTAAAGGACATTTTTCTTCCCATTTCAGCTCCATGCTCTGTCTGTTCCCACTTCTTATCCCTTGATAGGAATCTAATTTTTCTATGTTTGATAAAGAGATAAAGAGCAATGTTCTTAACTGGGAAAACATTCTCAAAGTGACTAAACAGAGCCTCATTTGGGTTCCTATCATCAACTTAAAATGATTGCCTTAAATATATACACATACCTTCCTTAGTAATAACACTGCCCAACTGTGGAATGGCATCTCAGTTCCTTTCCCCACAATGGATTAATTGTGCACATCTAACTGTCCTGCCTGGAGAAAGTCTGATTGACTGTTCTTTAGATTAAGTCAAGGATTTGGAGATGTTTGACCGTGACAAGAAGAACTAACATGGGCAATGGGGGTGGAGCTTGGTCAGGGCTGTTAGTACATAAATACCTAAAGCTCTCAGGTATCAGAGTAGGCATAACAAGGCTCTGAAGTCAGACTGTTTAAGGGGTGCATGATGGTTAACTTAGCTTACCAATAGATTGATATAGCTCACATTCCATGTTAGAGAATCCTCCACATATGATCACTATTTTGATAGTCATTGCATGAATCCTAAACTTGCATGGAATTAATAAGCTATAAAGTAGTTCTATAACAAAATGATAAATGAAAACTTACCCCACAATTGACATATACTTCAAATCAACAATGTCACACATAATAAGGGAGGTTTTTTTTTCTTTTCTTTTTTTTGGAGCTGAGGATCGAACCCAGGGCCTTACGCTTGCTAAGCAAGCTCTCTACCACTGAGCTAAATCCCCAACCAATAAGGGAGTTTTTAAGTGTACAGATGCATATTTGTGTTTTATTCCTATAGACACAAACTGATCTTAAAAATTCCCTGTACCTATTACTATAATATTTTACATCAGCATTACAAATATGAGATTATTTATCAGTTGTTTCCAGTTTTCAGCTGCCCTGGTTTCATTTCTGTTTCTGGGACAAATACCCTCACAAAAAGAAACCTGAGGGAGAAAGGAGCTCATATAGTTTACAATTCCAGGTTGCAATCCATTATTGTAGGGAAGTCATGGCAGAAACCTCCAGCACCACATCCACAGTTAAGAGGAAAAAGAGAATGCATGCCTTCTTGATTGCTCGCTCTTAGCTGGCTAGCTTTCTCCCTTCTTGTACTGTTCAGGGTCCCCTGCCTAGGACATGACACCACCCACAGTAGTCTGGATGTTTGTGCCTCAGTTAACAATCAAGACAACCCCCCACTGGCATGCCCACGGGCCAACCTGATTAATTAATTCTTCAGTGAGACTCTCTTCCCAGGTGTTTCTATAGAGTGTCAAGTTGACGATTAAAACTGGCCAACACACCAGCTTTATCATTTTAACTTTAAAAATTATTCTTTAAGTCTGAAATGCTTAAGCAACAGAGCACAATATTGACCTTAAGTGAAATCAGCTGTGCTGCCAGGAATTCATATCTTGTATACTGTTTGATTATCTGAAATGCATTTTGCTTTGTTGACACAAATTTTTCACTCCATTTCTTTTAATGAAAAACCTGATAGATTTATTTGAAGATAAAGTTAAATTTTAGTCACAAAGTAAGTAACATAATTATGCACTCTTATTTAATCAATAGAATGTATGTAAAACCAAAATATTTTTCCAACAAGGCCATCAATTTGAAAAGGTTCAAGGAAAGGTTGAAATTAGGAAGGAGAAGGGAGAAATGATGTAATTATATTATATTCTCAAGAAATAATTTAAAGTAAAATATTTCCTTACAATTTGGTTCAAATAGATCACATAATAAAATTTCTTTTTCAAATGCTAAAAATAGAGGAGTTAAAATGGAACTAAGGCAAGTGTACTTTAAATGAAGTATTGAGATAGTAATCCATTGGAGCTGGTGGTATCGCCTGCATCTGTGTGGCAGCATCTCCTGACCACATCAACTGACCAGTCTTAGTAGCTCACCATTCAATTGAAATCATTTGGCTGAATATTTGATTAACAATGAAGAATAAAGACTCAATTGTCTTTTGAATCCTGATTGACAAGGAACCCCTTCACGCCAATCCTCGCCTACCTTCTTATGTATCCCTTCTGTGTCTTCTGAAGGATTTTCCCTCAAACTCTCCAGATTCAAGTTTCTGATTTAAAATAAAAAGTGGGGTGAAGAGATTATGTCTTGAGGTGACTTTGCCCTCCCATTCACCTATGTCCATGTCCCTCTTGCCAGTGGTGATGGTGTAGGGCTGGCATAGGCCTGAATGAATGTCGACTGCTTTAGATGTTAATTCTTGGCATTCTTCATCTCTTGGTAGAAAAGCTAGCAACCTTACCAGCATTACAAAATGCTCCTTAGGTGCCACCACATTCCCCATTTAAAAGACACAATCCTGGAAGGAAATAGACCTGAATGTTAAAGCTTTCTAGGAAGTTGCTAAGCATTTTGAAAGAGCACTAATATCACCACGGGTTGCTCCAGTTCAGGATGAAGTCCAGGATGCCCACATGATCATTCTGTTGAACCGTCAGCCAGTTAGTGCATGGAACTGGTCAGCATTTATTAAACCACTCCTATAAGATGCCAAAAGAGATTTGCTATAGTCTCTAATGTCATGACAGTTCTAGTTAGTGAGGAGGAAGACATTAAAACTAAGATGGTGGTACTACGTAAGCACAGATATGGAGATGGTTCAAAAGGTGCTCACTTCCCTGCACTCATGAAGGTCAAGATGTGCCATTACAGGGACTCCTACAAGTGTCCATTACCATCATGGGACTTGTTTTGCATGTGCTTGGGATTGAAACTAGAGCCTTGCACATGCTAGGTACATGTTCTCTCACTGAACTCCATTCCCAGCCACCTCTGAACTGATGTAAACACTAAGAGGCCACAGTCAGAGAAGAAATGAAAATGGACTGAGACAAAACCTCTCATCTAAGGAAGTGGGCCTTTTAAACTCAGCTACGACAATCTGATTACTAAGAATCTGATTACCAAAAGTGCAGCCACCTGACTCAGTTATTAGCAAAGAGTTAGAAACCTTTGAGTCACATTTTAATAACACCAATGTGCTCTGAACCCAAAGCTTTAAATGGGGGAAATTGATACAGTGTTTTCAAATGAATTGAAGTAAATCTAAAAGCCAATAAGCTTTACCTTGCTGATGAATAAAGATGGAGTCCATAACACACAGTTTGAAAGTAAAGTTTAGTGGAATTGTTTGGGGATTCCATTCAACTTGAACTTTTTCTTTGTAACCTGAAAGACTCATTTATTCTTAAATCACCATGAGAAAAACCATCTGCTTGTTTAAGAATGAGAAGGAGGGCATGGGGAAGCTGATCTTGTCTACACACTTAAAAATACCACTGCCGTGACTAAAACAATGTTCAATCCATTTCATTGGACTGTGTGAAATACACATTTTTGTGCCTTAAATTCTTGCCAAGCCATTGTCTCATTTGTCCGCCATTTCTGGAACACCTTTTGCATGAAATTTCCCTAATAGAAGCTGTGAAGGCTGTAAATGGGTGAGCTGCGATGTGTCTTAACTTCAGATCATGTAAGGGAACCTTCCTTTGTCTTCATGATGTCTCTTACCTCATCTTCCACATCTTCATCAAAGCCCAAGCTCTTTCTGACCCATTTTAATGGCTGTTCCATGCTCTCTGTCATCTGGCCTTTCATCTTCACCTGGAACCCTAGCACCATCCGATTCAGCCAGAGCACCACCACACTGGTCCAGCCTGGGAAACGCTAACTCTAAAGGCTGTTCACTGTGCCCTCTTGTTTTGTGTCTCTGGAGTGAAACCTCAAGAATGACAGAGTGATAGGAGGTGGCCGTCACAGTGCTTCCATCAGTCCTGGAGTCAGCAGTGATCAGAAACAGGACACTGGACACTGAGGAGGACATGGCAGAGGCAGGGGTCTAGAAGACTGGAGACATGACTCTGCCCTGGGCTTCTTGGAACCTTTCTGAGCCATCATCCCCTGGTTCCCATTCCTCCGGTGCTGAGTGAATCTGAGAGGGCTACTGGTTCTTCCTTCCTTTGGGGACTCCATCTGAAATTTGAACAAGTGACTCAGCAACACCAACAAAGTCCTATTGCCTTTGACAAGCATGCTTTCTGGAAGAAAGCCCTTATGCAATAGTGCCTTTCACTTGTTTTTCTGTTTAGATGTTGATATAAACAATGGTTTTTCTAGAATTCACCAACTGTACAGGGTAGTTTTTCAGCAATAAGAACTAAAAATATCTACAGAAGTTGACTATCCCAATATTCTAATATAGAAACTCAGGCCTGTTCTGCATCTGGGTGCACAGAAAAATCAGAATTCAGGGATAAATTCTTAGCCCTTCATTGTTTTGGAAGAGGGAGTACCAGAGAACATTTCTTGTAATGTAACTTGTGTTTATCTAAACTAAAAATGATACAGGTTGAGCATTCCTATTCTGAAATAAGATCCAAAACTTACCAAGTTCCAATCTGGAGCTGTGAGCAGAAGCCTCTGGCTTCAGAGGGCAGGTATCAGCTGAAACAGAGGCAGACCTCCAAAACCTAGTACATAAACTTACCTTCAGGCACGTGTGCAAGGAGTGTATGAAATACAAGTCAACTTTGTTTAGATGTAGATTCTGTCCCTAAGTCAGCCCTTGTGTATACACGAACATTTCAAAACCGCACTATCTAAATTCTTCTCCAAACCAAAATGTTAGTGAAAAAATAACCTGTATATTTTTTAAATCAACACAGAGAAATTAGTTATACATAGTTATCTGTTTGTGAAGTTAGACTTTCTTTATTTAAGTCCTGATTATTAAAGAAATAGCTGTGACATCATACATAAATACTCATACTTTTAAAGTCACAGTTGTGTTATATCTCTGCACATTAGCCAATGGGGCCTGTGTGCTGGTGGTCAGACCTTGCTACCTGGTGAGTGCAGGTCTGTTAGAGTAACATCTCAGAGCATATTGTGGGGCCATGTTTGATGGTGACCATCAGCCTCTTGGCACTGTGGCATCCACACCACATTTCACAGGAATGTGAAACTTACATTAAGTCCTAAGAGTCGTCACTGCACCCCACAGGATGCCTGGATCCCAGAAACCATCCCCTGAACAAAGCTGCACACAAACTGCCTGTATGAGAAGCCGGTCTGGACACAGAATCACCAGGGATGGGCCATTTTGTCATTTTCTGCTATCTTACGTGCCTTGCCAGGGATTTGAAGTACATCTTCAGATCATAAAATGGACTTTTATGCCAGAAAATATTTTAGCTAATTCCTAAGCTTGAGTTGTCCACAGCATTTTTAAAAACTCAAATGTCTTACCCAGAAACGACAGGGAACTCACAGACCCTCAACACTTAAAACTATTTGAAAATAAACAGCTTGGGTGATAGCCAAGAGGAATGGTCCAAAAATCAAAATCAAAGGAACCAGAATATCATCCATTGGTTAAAGGAACATCTTTTAATACAAACCAAAGAAAAGGTTAAAACCCACCCCCATCTTAGAAAATGTGATTCCCAGTGAAATGTGTCTTTGTATGTAGTAACCATAAAACTAACAATAATTGAAGACTAATGTTGTTAACTTAAACACTAAAAGAAAGGTGATCTCCATGGTATCCTACAATAATATCCACGAATGTATATGCAAATCAAATGTTTAACTCTCTGTAAAAAGCTCTATGGGGATCTGGGCTTGATGCACTTTAGTAACAACTGTGTGCTTGGGTGTCCAGTCTATGATGAGCATGAACGACTTCACTGACACTGAGCCAGAGACACAGTAACATGATAACAAGTGGAGTTCAATATTTTGACTTGGCAATATTCCAAAGCTCATTATTTCTTAATTTATGTTTCTTTAAAAAAATATTAAAACCTTGACAGGTTAGTTATTAAAATTTAGGGACTTTGAGACACATCTTTTCTGGACCCCAAGTAGAACCAAACAGCCATGCTTCCCCCAGAAAGTGAAGACTCCCAAGTTAGGGACTAACTGCTTGTGTAGATGTATATTTTCTCTCTTAACTATAGACATCATGGACTGAAAGAGAAGCAGAGTAACTGAAGGTAAACAGCTGGCCACCACCCGTGATTAGGAACCCACTAAAACAGCTTTCAGTCACAACGTTAAGTCTACTAAATCACAGAATGAATTAAGGGGAAAAATAGCATTATGCTTATTATAATCTAGTCCCATAGACTAAAGGTTTTCACAGAAACCTACTAGATGCCTAGACAGGTAATAAAATAATATTTTCACATCTCAAATAATATTTGTTATGTCCTACAAAACCATTCTAAGGAAATGAGGGGTTTGTTATAGGCACCTTGAGCTTTTAAGAAGGGGTCAAAAATAGTGTTCATCCAACCAACCACACAGGTCCATGTGTCTGTCCATCTCACCCATAGACACCACGTAGCTAGTCCTCATAAGAGCCCATCACCATGGAATCTGAAGCCACTGTTCCAATGCTTTCTAGAACTTTCAGTCTAGATAGAGAATGGCATTAGCCCATAGCAACTGTGATGGAACAGGTGTCTTTTCTCATGTGCTGAAGTCATCGATGACTCTAAAGCTACTCCAGGAGGGAGAGAAACAGGCTTAAGCTTAACACTGACGTTGGCTGCATCCAAACTATGTTAACAGTGCTGAAGGCTCCTTCCCAGCCATGGTAATGTTTTTTTTTTCTCTATTGCCCCACCCCGTGATTTATTTATGTTTGTGTTTATTTCAGTAGGGCTTGCTTGTCCCCTTGTGTTGCAGGGCTGCATTCTCATTCACCTGCTCCCGCACTGTAACAGAGAAGCCCTTTAATGCCTGTGTTCCTTTGTTCTCAGCTGGTGAATGAGCAGCAGGAAAGCAGACCTCTCCTGAGCCCCTCCATAGATGACTTCCTCTGTGAAACCAAATCCGAGGCCATTGCAAAGCCAGTAACATCCAACACAGCCGGTAATTCACTTCTAACTATGTTTAAGGGAAGTACGTTTTACCTAGAAATGCATGTATGTTTCCACCTCCAGGCATTTTCCTAAACAAGTGCGGGCAGTGTTTATTTGTTTGTAGGTGTGGATGTTTGCATATTGAAACATACCTGTGGAGGTCGGAAGACAGCTCATGAGACATGATTCTTTTCCACCCTAGGGGTCCCAGGGATTGAACTCGGGTTGCCAGGATTGGCAGCAAATGCCTTTATCTGCTGAGCCATCTCAACATCCCCCTCCTCCAGGCCTTTCAAGTGGGGAATGATGTTTACAACCAAGTGATTGGCCTGTATACAATTCAGCATAAATTAATAAATGACTTTTGATTACACAAGAAACTACATTGTATATTACCCAGGCATATTTGCTGGCCTTGAGTATACCGCTGTTCTCACTCAGTTTTTGATGCATACTCTTCTGCATTTACTGCTCTGCACTCCAGAATCCACCACGGTATATAAGGAAAGCTGCTATTTCAGATTCAGGTTTTGCAAATTCAGCTTAATGGTCCAATTATTTTTGAAAATATTTCATGAAACCAAAGTCTAGGAAAATAAAAATGTTGTGGTAGTCTTTCTGGGTAGAATTAAGTGATAATTAAAATACGCTATAGACACAGGATGTTGTAGAACCATTTAAATGTGGTCCTTGATCTCTCTTACAAATTATCTGAACATTCCGATTTGTACAAACCCTTCCTGGAATTAAGCAATCTCAACAGAACACCCTCTTCTGCTCAGTGCTTGGCACATGTAGGCAGGAGCATTCCGTCATCAATCTGAGGACAGACTGCCGCAGGCCTCTGGACGGAGCTACATTTCTCTAACAGGGCTCCTTTCCACTTCAACCTCATTTGGCCAACACTCCCCTTCAAAGGCGCGCTCTTCAAATAATGAGGAAAGCGTGTTGTTTTAGAATGGGAAACCAGAGATTATAGTGAGTGGGTGGTGCCAATTAATATGAGAAGAGCCTGATGTCACACTTCCTTCTTAAGTTAGTCCCTCTTTTCCACAGTGGCCTCCACTGGCAAGTGACTTACATTTTCACCACTTGGATCCTAAGTGGAAAAAATCAGATAGGAAAAAAAAAATGATGTTTTTCCAGACTGCAAAAAATTACTACATAAAGAGGAACTAATACCCAATGGTGGCAGCCCAGGTAGAAGACCAGATAATCTGAAGGCTGGGGGATCAAACCTCATGCATTCTCATCCAGCTCTGCATCATGGTGTCAGCTACTGCTTTCCCTCGTCTCTCTGGTAGCATAGCTGAGGCTCACCTTCCATATCTAATAAGAGCACGATCCTTCCCTTGGAAATGACTTGAGAAGATGAATGAAGCCATCTGTGGATGTGCTGACAGTGGTAAACTCTAGCTGGGGAGGTCACCCCGACTGATGTCAGGTGACAGCATTCTTGACACTTCCTTCTTTGTTACCTGATGTCACACCCAAATTATTGTTTTCTAAATCCATCTGTCACTTGGAGTGCTCAGGAAAATAGAACAGTGCTTTCTGTATTCTAAACAGGACATTAAAATGAATTCAGACTATCAGAGCTGATTGATCCTAACCTCTGAAACTGGAGTGCTAGTCCAGAAAACACAAAGTCGGTGTCTCTTAACTGCAGGCAACTCCACAAGATTCAGACGCACTGAGGAAGCTCATCCTCAATTCCTACTGACAAAGAAAGTAAGACACTTAGAAGGTCCCAGACCTGAGGCCCAGGAAGTGGCTCAGTCAGTAAACATTAGCTGCATAAACACAAGAACCCGAGTTCAATCCCCAGAACTCATGTTAAAAAACAAAAGCAATGAGACATGGAAGCATGTGCTTCTAATCCCAGCACCAGGAGGGCGGGTACAGGAGGACCCTGCGGTTTGCTGGCCTGCCGCAAGCTAGGAGAATAGTCATGAATCTCTAAACCTCATATCAAGGTGCTAGCCGGCCAGACACACTCCTGTAGGCTCTTGGGGAGGTATTGTTCCCACCTCTCTAATCCTTCCTATTGGTCCCTTGACTCCAACCTTCATGTGGGATTTTGTCTGTGTGCAGATCACATCCATCTTTCTGTCTGCACACCTACCTGTGTCTGAATTCCCCTTTTACATGAGGATATCTGTCATCCTGGGATTGTGCCCTGGCCTCCTCCAGGACAGCCTCATCTTTAATCACATTTCCAATGAGGTCTTCTTCTCAAGTATGGGGGCTTCTCCCTAGGAATAAGGGGTGGAGCCCCATTCAATCTATCATGTAATATTCTGAATCTTTTCTGCCGTACAGTGATTTCTAATCACCCTGTGTTGGACACTTTGTTTTACAAGCTTAGAAATATATCTCAAGGCAAAAATCGCTATATTTTTAAATCCCTAAAGAATGTAGCTCTTATAAAAATCAATACAAAGTAAACAATGTAGGAAGTATTTTTCCCAAGTAATGGAATTTTTTCTCTAACAATTTTTAAAAGAACATATCTTTAATTTTATTGCTTAATAAGAGAAAACAATTATGTATTCATGATTGTGTGTGTGTGCGTGTGTGTGTGCATGTGTGTTGTGTGTGCGTGTGTGTGTGTGCGCGTGTGTGTGCGTGTGTGTGTTGTGTGTGCGTGCGTGTGTGTGCGTGTGTGTGTGCGTGTGTGTGCGTGTGTGTGTGTGCGTGCGTGCGTGCGTGTGTGTGTGTGTGTGTACGTGTGTGTGTGTGTGTGCTGGGAACTGAACCCAAGTCTCAGACATGCTGAGCTGTTTATCCACCTTCTTTTTTCTTTTTTATTTCTTGAGACAAGTTCTCAATAAGTTGTCCAGGCTGGCCTTGAACTCACAGCAAATGGGGATCTGCCTACTTCCCAAATAGCTGGGATTACAGATAGTGGCACCAGACACAACAAAAGCCTTGACTGAAAAAATGCAGATGTGTAGATATTACATTCGGGCTGATAACAATAAATGTCCTGAAATCCACTGAACAGCAGATACTTTAAACGATTAGATCGTCATACATGCAGCATGTGTGACAAAATTTGCAATATACTAGTGTATAACTTAATAACTCTAACGTATGTTAAAACATAGGACAGATCTTTTTGTCAGAGATCAAGAAGAGAGGTAGGGGTCCTTGCTGTGATTTATGAAGCTAGAGAGAGGTTGAGTTATTAGACCAACAGGTAGTTTGGAAGGAACATTTTTTTATGGTTTATCATTGTTTTAATCTCACTCTTTTATTTAGAGTTAATATACTTATTGTGGGACTTCTGTACATAAATCATATGATAAAATAGCTTAACTAAATAAAATATTGGCATCAGATTTACAGGCACATTTTTATGAAATTCAAGTGGCTATAAAGCTAGCAACACGTCTCAGAAAACCTTAGAAATCTGGGAAGCAGGGACTGGAGAAACGGCTCAATTGTTAAAGCATTTGCCAGGCAAGCTAGAGTGAAGGCCAGAGTCCAGATCCCCAGGCATTTGCCTGTAATCTAGCCTCTGATGTGGAGACAGGGCCTCCAGGACAGGCAGGCTAGAAAGACTCACTGTGCTGGCAATCTGTGGATTTCAGAGGCCCTTCCTCAATGAATAATGTGGAAAAGCTATTGAATGTGATTCCTGGTATTAACCTAGGATGTCCCCATGCATCTACACATGCAGGACATGCATATGAAACAGTCACAGACACACATATGCAGAGCATGCATACACAACACTCATACACACACACACACACACACACACACACACACACACGCAGAGCATGCATACACAACACTCACAGACATACACATGCAGAGCATGCATACAGAACACACATGTGCATATACCCTCAGATGGAAAAAGAAAAATCTGAGGAATAAATTTAATGACATGTTATAATAAAGAAAAAGTTGACTTAATTCATTAAATACAGTTTATCTATTTGGTAGATATATTTGAAAGTTTCTACGATTGCCTGTCTAAATCATGCTTCCTTACACACTGTGTTGATAATGATATGTCTTCCACCAACTTGTCAAAATAAGACTTCTCTGTTTCTTTAGACAAGGTCTCACTATGTGTCCCTGGCTGGCCTGGTGCTGGTCGATCTGTCTGTCCCTGCCTCCTCAGTGCTAGGATTAAAGGCGGGTACCACCACACTGACCTTGAACAACACTTCTTACTAGACGCTAATCTATCTGCTTTGAGCAGCACAGCTTCCCAGAGCTCGAGGAGGCTAGTTTCTCTCATGTTTGCAGTGGCCTGGGAGAGCCTGGTTTCCTAGGTTGTTGACTTCAGGTGTCCTTGAGATGGTGAGACACGGCTACTTTCACATGTGTTGTCTTCTAATGTCAGGAAATGTTATCCAGTGGAATTTGGTTTTCCAAAAAAAGACAGTTTCTGAGACTACCATCATACCTCAAACTTTGCAAACTGCCAAATAACTAGGAATTTAAGGGGCACAGGGAGCCACCATATTAATAGTCTACATACTACCTCCATGCTCAGGTGGTCTAGATAGGCTCAAATGACATGCCTGTATCTGAGTCCCAGCAAGGTCACCAGCATATCAGCTGCGTTAGATTCCTGTCACTGCCACAACCAGACACCACATACACAGTGTCCTGAAACACCCTGAGTTTGTGTTTTAAATCTATGGAAATCGGAAATCCTCTGACCAGGCTGCCATCAGGGACTGACTCCTCTGCAGATCCTAGGAGCTTGTCTGCTGGCTTGCTCCCACTATAGGGGGCACATGCAACTTGTTGGCTTGTGCTTTCTTCTGTCATCGAAGCAGCTTGTATCTCAGATTCATCCTCATGTCTCCTTCTCAGACTCTGACCCTCCTGGATTGTCCCTATGAGGACACTGAGACGATGGGACCCACCCCCTGTGGCTGGTCCATGGTGACTGACAGGGGTCTGGGTAGAAAAGGCTGCATATGTCAAACTAAAGTACTTAGAAGGTATTTCCTTGGTCTTGCACTCACATGTGTGTACACATGCACACTCTGACACACATCATTGAAAGCAAATGATCCTTGTACTCTTACTTTACACACCAAAGCACAGGGACCCAAAACTTCGTGTGTCTAGGAGAATACTTTCAATTTCATCCAGAAGTGAGCAAATCACCCAGCCTTCTGTGCTCGGGCATGCCCGCTTGAAGCACAGGAGGAGCTCTAAGCCCTCAACTTTAAGCCTTGACTACCACCCCCTCCACATCACAACATGCTGTCTCCTCCAGACGCCAAAGGCTGTCCCAACCTTCTCTGCTTTTAAAGTTGTCATCCTAGGGGACTCTCAGCTTCAAAGCCATTCGACCTCTAAGACACTGCTTCCATTAAATGGGCAGTCAGTAGGGCCTTTGTGCATGCCAGGCTCCAGCTTCACATTTACAGAAAAAATAACGACATGGAGAACAAACCCAGGAAAGACCTAGGATGCTTCAGAGTGGACAGGTATGACTGGCTAGTTTGAATTTTCAGTTCACTCATTCAGAAGCAGATAGAGATTAAGTTAAACCCCACCAGCTACTATTTTGTAGCAAATGTACTTTCAATACACAAGTTCCTAATTCCTAGAAAATCTGCTTCTAAAAGAAGTCTAGGGGCAAGAGGCTAAATCTTAACTGTTTGTATAATTGGAAAAAGCATGTAGACTTCCTTCCATCATAAAGAAGTCTCATTGGGCCTAGAGTCCTTGCTATTCCATAGTGTCTAGAAGTTTCATTTAACCACTCAGTGAATAGGAAGTGTGTGGAGCCCTGTCTTGGCTGCCTGCCACACTTAAATTTGGCTCAGAAAGCCAAGTGACTTGGTTCTGGAAGCCTCTTTCCACCCACTTTGCTTCTGACTCACCAAGCACTCCTCTCTGCAAGCAGCTCCCTGTTAGAGTGGCCCCCATCTTCTCAAGAAAACTCAGCGACAACAAGCTGACACCTTCGGGCCATTTGTGATAAATTCACTTCATAGACTCCTCTGTGGAGACAAAATCCTTGTCTCTTCTTGTTTCATCCTCAGGAACATTTCTTCTCTCTCTCTCTGTGGAGATTTGATTGTGGCTTGAGACAGAACAGAACAAGAAGAGAGGGAACACTAAATAAAAAAGAGGGAATTGTTGCAATTTGGCCCCTCAAAAATTGTGTGTGTGTGTGTGTGTGTGTGTGTGTGTGTGTTGGAGATAAACCCAGAAGTGTGTGAATGTCAGGCAAACTCTCCACCACTATGCTGCCCCCTCCTCTGCCTGAAATAGCATTTGCTGAGTGAAGATTTAGCATAAGCCTGGCACTTTGTATCCTTTGCACCATTTACTCTTCATCCCACACTTACAAGACTACTGATCCTCCATTTTCAGATGCAGAAACTAGAGCTCAGGCTGCTCAAGAAACTTCCCTCAAGGCACATCAGACTCATAGGGACTCAAGTTTCGCTCACACACCAGAGAATCCCCCGGGGAGGGCTGGCTCATGTACACATGCAGGCAGACCTGCACGATGAAGGAGACTCACCACCCCCACCCCCACCTGTGAGCTCAGTGGAGCCCTGGCTCTGCCAAGGGGCAGCCAAGTGGGAAGCAGATGAAATGGGATTGAGCTGTCAATCACACCTGATCTACACCTAGAGGACAAGCTGAAATGTTTTGGGACTTATGACTGGGGAAAGTGCTATAGTGGTTGCTCTAGACTACAGGGAAGGTCAACACAGGGCTCCTCTACTCACTGTTGCCTTTCCTAAGTGAAGGGAAGAGTCTGAGGAAGCCACCCGTCCTGTCATGCACTCAGCCTCTCAGCCCAAGGCCTGGAAGAACTGGAGAGAGAGACTGTGTCTCCTTCCAGTGTTCTGTTTCTCAGGTAGGGCTAGTTAAATATGACTTGCTTATACTGGAAAAGAAAAGGTTCAAAGCTGGCCTATTCATCCTGATTTGCCTCGTTTTGCCTAGGAACACATTATTATTTCTGCCTTTGTTGGAGTATTTAATACAATGAAATCAACTCACTAGGAAGTAAAAGTGTAACCATTTTATAGCTGGTTATGCTGGAATTAAAAGTGGCATACTAAATGTCAAGTTAACATGTGTCTCTGTTCATCAACTGCATTATAAAAACCCCTCTTCAGTGAGACCCAGAGAGCATGTGATTTATGACCAAACTGCCTAATTCAGTAAAAAATTACATTAGACTTTATGAAATCTGTGAGCATTGACCCTTTTCTGGGAAAACCGTAATCTAAAACAAACCTTCCCCAGAAATTAATGAGAACAATAGAGCAACTAGACCTGAACTGAGATTTGTTTTGTTTTCGTCCTAAATTTTCTCACTGCAGAAGTGGGTCTGGGTGACTTTTGCCTGGACTTAGCCTAGGGGACACACAGCCAGCTTCCCAGCCTCACAGCCCTCCAGCTATCAATGATAAGCCAGCATCGACTTGCTGACTCTAATCCATCCTATCAACATAGGGGCTCTATGCATCCAACTGACACCTATTTTGAAAAAAAGACTACTGGGGGCTGAGGAGGTACCTCAGTTGGTAAAGGGGTTGACTTGTAAGGACAAGGCTCTGGGTTCCATCATCAGAAACCATGCTTAAAGAAAGAAAAAAAAAGAGGAGGAATGGGCATGGTGGTGTGACCTAACCCTGGGGAGGCAGAGATAGGCAGACCTTTGGGGCTCCAAGTCCAGCCAGTCTACCCTATTTGTCCAGTTCCAGGCCAGTGACAGACTTTGTTTCAAAAAACAAAGTGGACAGTACCTAAGCACAACACCTAATGTTGTCCTCTGACCTACACACACATATACACACACACACACACATACACACACACACACACACACCCTTGAGCATGCGTACACACACACATAAATAATACATACATACATATATACATACATACAAAAATAAATAGATAAATAATAATAACTACAGGAGGTAAATGGGCTTCTCTAACCTTCTTCTGTCTCCCACAGTGTTGACCACTGGCTTGGATCTCCTTGACCTGAGTGAACCTGTCTCTCAAACCCAAACCAAAGCCAAGAAATCTGAGTCCTCGTCAAAGACCTCATCCCTCAAGAAGAAAGCTGATGGCCCTGACCTCATCAGTGCAGAGGCTGAGCAGAGGGCCCAGGCTCTCCGGGGCCCAGAGACGGCATCTTTAGACTTGGGTAAGGCTTGCAGCAGCTATGGCTTACCCTTGTCTTGGTACTGATATGACAGTCAAGTTCAAGATGACTTTCAAACAGTGAACATGGGAGTAGGGATGATAAAGTTCTTCCAGGGAGTTGTGAAGGGTGTGGCTGAGTGGCCATGGGAGCTCAGCTTCATAAAACTGATATTGATTTATTCATGTATGTGTTCCTCCCAGTGGGCTGAGCTTGTGGTGGATGCCAGGCATCTCTCAAAGCCCAGGAGCTGAAACTACAGAAAAATATGGACCTTGCTCTCTAGGAATTTTCAGTTTAGAACAAGAGAGAAATGGGGTAGACAAATAAGTGTATCACAGGACTTGGGGACATCCAGAAAAAAACAGTCGTAAGATAATATCCAGTATGATGGTGATAACTGTTAATACCCTTCACTGTTGGCTTGCCATAGCCAGGAACTACACTGCATCACTTACATGATTTATCTCATTATTACAACTCTGTAATGTGTGAAAACTGGGTTTAAAATTTAACTTGTCCAAGATCTTAGAGCTAGTAAGAGAAAGAGCTGGGAATGCACACCTGGCCTTAGCCAGCTTCCAAGCTCAACTTTTATCTACACACTCTACATTCCTTCTAAGAAAGGACAGTTAACTCCTCAACTCATGCAAACAGGTAAATCAAGTAATATGCCTGTGTGTGTGTGTGTGTGTGTGTGTGTGTGTGTGTGCCTGTGTATGCACAGATGTGTGTTTGTGCATGTGCATATAAATACATAAATACATATAAATTCATAAAACTAGCTTTTGAAATTAATTTTACTTGAGCGCTTTAACCGTAAAAGCAATCCAGTTTATCTTAATAAGCCTTGTTTTCTTTAGCTGTATATGTTTTAATTCATTTTCATGCACCCTTAAGAAGATAAATGTTGGCCTTGCAAGCATGGATTGAGTATAGTTTGCCTGGGACCTCAGTCCTAATCAATCACTTTTCTGTGTGCACCCTCATGCTAGGCCCTGGGCTTTCTCTTTCACTTTCTTCTTCCTCAGTAGACATTCAAACACAACTGGAAAAATGGGAAGATGTCAAGTTTCACGGTGACCGAACAAGCAAGGGGCATCTCATGGCTGAAAGGAAGTCATGCTCATCTAGAGCCGGGTCCAAAGAGCTCCTATGGTAAGATGTCCCGATTCCAGAGAACAATAGCTTCCACAGACTGTGTGGGTGTGCCCTTCAAGTCTGGAAATGGCCACTGAGCTCATTTAATACAAATACCCAAGATCCTGAATAACAACCTTCTATATGCTATCACTTCCACTAAATTGTTCTTAAAAAAAAAATGAACTGAACTCAGAAAGAATGTGAGGAGGTCCTGGTTTGATAATTTTAATAATATTCTAAACGTTTAGCTGAGCTATCAGTCAACAGAAGTGTGTGTGTGTGTGTGTGTGTGTGTGTGTGTGTGTGTGTGTGTGTGTGTGTGTTTTAGTCAGTTTTTCCTGGTTACACAGATTTTCTGCTCTCTCAACCATCCACTGCTGTTCGACGTCGTAATTGCAGATGAATCATGGACACTCAGGAAAGAATGTGGCCTCTTGAATTTTACCAGGTGAATTACTTACTTTCCTGTTGCTGTGATAAGACACTGTGAACAAAAGCAACTTGGGAAGGAAAGAGTTTAGTTCACTTTAGAATTCTCAGGTCACAGTCTGTCACTGGGGGAATTAAGGCAGGAGCTGGAGCAGAGACCTTAAGGGAGCAGAGTACTGGTTCTCCTGCCTTGCCTCAGCTTGCTTTCCTATACAACCCAGGACTGCCTTCCTGTGGACGGCACTGCCCACGGTGGGCTGGGTCCTCTCACATTAACCATCAATCAAGAAAATGTCCCACAGACACACACCCATAGGCTAATCTGATAGAGGCAACTCCTCAACTAAGGGTCCCTTTGCCCAGGTGACTCTAGTTTGTGTCAAGTTGAGGAAAACTAACCAGAACACCATGTTTTAAGGATTTGGAAAGGGAAGCCTCCTGTTTCTGTCTCCTCTGCCCTCATGCATATCTCCGTATTGCGACAATCTGGATGCATAGAGAACCTTATGAACTGTCTCCAACAAGAACAGAACTCTTATTTTTCATAAATGTGGAATTTCCTATATGAAAAATGGCATCATGTTGTTCCTTTCTTTTCTGCCCATGGTTCATCTGAATTCTAAATTAAAGGAAAAAAAGTTCTATCTAGCAGGTAGTCCCTGCGGAAGTGGCAATTTTTAAGGAAACTTACAGAAGTTGACTTCTGTCTGAATTCTGCCCAGAGCCCAGTTCCTGGCGGGGTTTGTGGCCACGTTTGTTCTTGCTGCGCACAAATGTCTTCGATGTCTCGTTGCAGGTCCTCAGAACACAGATCTCAGCCAGAGCTGAGTGCCGGAAAAAGTGCCCTCAACTCCGAGTCGGCTTCCGAGTTGGAACTTGTGGCTCCAGCACAGGTACCAAAAGCAAATCTTAGGAAACCCGTCTGCTCCAGCAGGAACTGAATCGTAAATATTTTATTTAAATTTTGAACAGAAAGTTTGAAGTGTTTTTCCAAACTTTGCATTGCAAAGTGTGTTCTCACTCCATAGCTGTCTTGGTGCTTAGAATAACTGATTGTATACGCTTCCATGTATTTGGCTGGAAAATGTGTTAATGAATTCACTGTGTACTTAGCACATTTTCCTTGTGCTGCCATTGACTGTCCCATTATTTGGCAATACAAAAATCTGTTCTAGTCCAGTATTAGCACTACTTATGTAACAGAACCCAAAGAAGAGGAAATTACACCCTGAGTGTTCATTCACATCTGAGCCCTGTAGAGTAAGAGACTATACCCAGTATTCTGTCATATTAAAATAAATTTTATGCCGAGGATTATATTATTCCAGCACCAGCAGTAATGGTAGCCATAATAAGAGCTACTACTACAACATCACACATTGTGGCCCACAGGAGGGAAGACAGATCTGAAGTGAAGTAAGGGGGTAACTGGGGCTGAGCACTAACCCAGCAGTAAGAGCACACACTGTTCTTACAGAGGACCTTAGTTCCCAGGATCCATGCTGGGCAGCTCACAACATCCTGTAAGACCTTCTCTAGGGGATTCAACTCCCTCTTCTGGCCCCACAGGCACCCCCACACACATGCATATCTACACATAAATAAAAATAAAATAAATATTTTCAAACTAAGAGGATAATTATGATAGCAGTACAGTAGGTATCATTGTTGACTACAAGAGTTTCTAATGTGAGTCAGCTGATTTGGCCCTGACAAAAGGCAGCACTAGGTAAGCTCTGTCTTTGCCCCATGGTACAGACAGGAAAGAATGAAAGGAAGAAAGTTATCGATGGACCCACACTAGAAAGTGGAAGAGAGAAGAACCCAGAAATCTAATGATGATGGGGCTCTGGAACTTCCTGTGTCACCAGCATTCTCCCTACGTGCTCATCACCTTCAGCAGAAAGAACGTGGCTGTTTCCAGACCACAGCTAGATATCTAGTCAACTCCCTTCCTGAACACATCACCCCGTGGACTTTAATGAATTGCAGATGTAGCATGAAAACTGAATTTTTGGTGCTCATTTTAAATGTATCTTCTTAAGAGAAAAATGACAGCATCCATTAGGAAAGCAGTATTCATAAGTGCATGAGCAAGCTGCACTCAGCTTGAGTAATTGGAGTTGCTTCAGGTCTCATCTGCTGCCATCCGTGGAACAGCGAAATTTAGTGACAAAGCGTTTGTTTTGAAGCAGGGAGAGACTTGGCACAGGTGGGCCATTCTACAACAAGCTGGGCCAGAGGAACAGCTGGGGCCCCCAGTTGCCATAGAAACCCACAATGCATTTGTCTTATTACCCCAATGACTCCTAGTCTCCTGCTGGTCCGTTAATTCCATCGCACCGCAGTGTCCTGCTTACCCTAAGCAGACACACCTTGGACAATGGTTTTGAGCTTCCTCACGTTGTCTTCCAATGGGCACTGAGAGCTCTCTGCCCAGGTGAGTCTCCAAGAGTCCTCTGAGATACTGACGCATCTGTGAGGGACTTACTCCTGGGTTACATTTTTAGACACTGTATGTTTACTTATCAAGACTTGACTTAAAAAAATCATACTTTTCTAGTTTTAATTCCAATTCAGAGCAATTTAGGAAATGCTCATGAAATGCAGGCTTACTAATATACCTGAAATACAGAGTAATTAAAACAAAGCAAGAAGAGAATAGACAGACGTTAATGAAAACAAGGAGACATTTCTGGGAGATGGCTCAGCTCATCAAAGCCCTTGTTTTGTAAGCACGAGGACCTGAGTTCCATTTGGGGAAAAAAAAAAAACTGGGCGTGATGGCACACACTTACAATCCCAGCCCAGGAGAGGTTGAAACAGGAGGATCGCTGAGGCTCACTGGTCAGTCGGCCTAGCCTACCTGACAAGTAGCAGACCAATGAGAGAATGTGCCTCAAAGAACAAGGTGGGTGGAGCCTGAGAGATCACACAGACACACAGACACACAGACACACACACACACACAGACACACAGACACACACACACACACACACACACACACACACACACACACACACGTTTGTACTGTTAGAAACATACTACTCAGCACTGCATGGCCTCTTTGTGTAGATACAGAATTATAATGAAGCTAGAACAACATTTCATGTAAAGGCTGACTCACAAATCATTCAAACCATTTAACTCACCAGACCCTGCTCCATGCTCACCCAGATGGTTCACAGGAAAATGGTTTCCTCTCCCTCAAACCAACATAAATTATGCTAGGCAGTGACTCAGCAGGTGGGGAGCTATTTACAAACCTGACTTAAAATTGTATTTCAGAATCACAAAGAAAATAGGAACACATAATATGAAAACTTACATTTTCTCATTTTCTTTTCAAGATGGGGAAGAAAGAAAGTGTGGTTTAGTCTCAAATGGTGCCTTGAATACAAAACTCAGAGAAACAAGTGATTACAATGAGTTACATAATCACTGTGTACTTAAGGACACATTCTTGACACTTAACACAAACCATGTAATTGCCATTCCATAAACTTAACTGTTTAAAGAGATCATACTGTCTGAAAACTTATTTTAAGAAAAAATTTGAAGAGCTGAAGAAAATACAAAAGGAAAGGCTGCAAAATTCACTTTTTCCATCTTGGGAAAGGTATCGCTGAGTAAGGCATTGCTGGGTAAGGCAAAGGGAGAGAATGCAGCTTCTTCTGCAGACATGGTCCAGACATCTCCTTCTCCATTTGCACACCAGAAGCTCCACCACAGGCTCAAGACTCAGATTCACTAGCATGAGCTGCAGTAGACACTCCAGACACAGGTCATTGTCACGTGACTTGCAGATGACCAACTCCAGCCGAACAGAGCTTTTCCATGTGTCATCACTGCCCATCAGCCCACTGTAAACTTAGGTTTTCATATTATCTCCATTTCACATTAAAAAATAAAAGCACGTCTAAGGAGGAGAAAAGTCAGGAAGTAATACCCATTACAATCTGTGAAGCCCTTGTTCTTAACCACAGAAGATTCCCAGAATCTGCCACCATGTGCTGCTCACCTGAGAGAACCCATAAGCCATTGTTCCTCTTATCTAAAAGCTCCATTATTATTTAATTCTGTTGGGTTAACAAGAGTTGAACAATGTTCAAGAATGTCCATTACTTTCTTACAGAAACTTCATAAGACAATTAGAATTTTCATACAATTTGTTCTGTATACAATTAATTCTCCTCCCAAATTCATCACCTTACTTTTAGAAAAGCTGTTGACTTCCAACTCAGTTCAATGAACATGCTTCGGTGTCTGCTGTCCTTACAGACATAAGGGAGGCAGTTAGTGGGATATATGGGTTAGGTTTTAAGATACATTTAGAGGAATCCAAGTTGTCATACCACAGAGATGTTGCACACCTATGTTATTGAAGGTTTACTTGCTGTAGCCAAGTTACAGATTCACCTGGATCTCCATAGCATAAATGAGGAAGTGTGGCACACATACACCACAGAGTGTTATTAAGTCACTAGGGGAAGGGAATATGTCATTTCAGGAAAATCCAAAGAACTGGAGGTCATCATGTTAAGTGAAATAAGCCAGACTCAGAAAGACACATCTCATGCATTTTTCTTTCGTGTGCAGAATCCAGAACTTAAAGTTTGAAAGAAGGTGTGGAACTCTTTGAGAAGAGAAAGGAGGCTAGTGTTGTGTGGGAGGTGAGATAGGATCAAGCAGTAGGAGAGGAAATGAAATCAGGTGGTCTAGGCCCTGAAGAGATGCTCATCAGGTAAAAGTGTGCGCTGTTCTCAAAGAGGATTTACTTGGTCTCCAGCACCCATGTTGAGAGGCTCACTACCTGTAACTCCATCTGTAGGCCTCTGGACTCCATAGACACCTGTACTCATGCTTTGCACACACACACACACACACACACACACACACACACACACACATGCCACTTAAAATCTTTTAAAAATGTACATTATACACATGTATAAATAGGAATGTCTACTGGAGCTCTGGACAGGGCCCAGCAGCAGGGTGGTGATGAGCTGGAATGGTGTGGGTTGTGGGTAGGGATTTGGGGAGCAAATCTCAGGAGTGGGGCAGTTCAGCTACCAGACAGGTCACTCCTCTGTTCTTACTGGTGTGTTGTAGTTGATTTTTTTTTAACTCTTTGGGGTCCCGCCACCCAGCTCCCAAATAAATACATGTAGACTTATTCTTACTTATAAATGCCTGGCCTTAGCTTGGCTTGTTTCTAGCCAGCTTTTCTTGACTTAAATTATTCTGTGTACCATTTGCAACATGAAAAAATGCAACACATCTTTGCATCATTAAAAAATATTCCACAGCATAAACAAATATAAAGCATCTTCAACTAATATTCCACAACAGTGTAGCCTGCACCCTGGAAGTCTGCTGAGGTTGGGGACAGGGCTGGGCAGTGAACTGGAATGAGTTCCCAAGTAGCAGAATGAAGCCCACTCTTTTGTACAATGAATATACACTGATAAAATAGATTAGGCATGTACTCAAAGAAGCATTTGTCTCTGGAAAATAATTCAACCCAATGCTCTTTAAATACTCACTGTTCTGTCTATTGGAGAACAGTCCAGGAGTTCTATCTAATCTTTTCCCTCTTGATGCCACACAACAACGGGCTACCAATGGGGAAGGAAGGAAGCAAAAATGGGAAAGAACAAAGAAGTAAAAGAAAAAGGGAAAGAAATCTGAAACACCATTTTCAACATTAGAAATCAGCACAGTGGGAAATTCTCAACAAGCATTTGTCACATGAATAAATCAGAGACCCTAACAGAAGGGTGAAACAATACCAGATTTAACAACAGAAGTAGACTCTTGTGGACAATTAAAACAAAAACACACATACTTTTCTCTAGATCATTTTTACGTGGTTTCAATGGTGGTTTC